GTACAATCCAACGTTTTTCAGTCAGGTCATCTGGACAGTTTCTTTTTAGGTGCTGAAACATTTCACCTTCCATCCAGAAGGCTTCATCAGTCAAGGAAACACACAACACAAAACTGATTCTTCCCCCATCAGCTTACTCCATCTCCCCCGCCTACTCCTTTGAGGCAGTCATGTCCAAAGTGGTTCAAAACATCAAAGTTCATGCTCAATAATCCAGGTTAAAAAAATCCAACAAAGTTAAGTCAGGTCCACGAGTCGACTGGGGAGAGGGCGGACTCCAGAAACCATCTGACCGCCTTCAAACTGGTTGACCCACTGTGTGAAGGTGCTCTTTATAAGACTGAGTTTGTTGTGGCTCCTCATACTTATGGAGTCTTTTATATGAAAGACAAAACGTTTCAACGAAAAGAAACCATCCAGAGGACCTGACTTAACTTTGCTGGATCTCATCTGTAAGTTTTTGTTCTTTGTATTCCTGCTGGTATTGTTCAATATTCTGAATAAGTTTTCTTTACTTACTCGAGAGTAATGCTCAAACAGTTTATCTGATGCAGGTATTTAAATTGTATTAATAGCTACTTTAATGTTTTGTTGTGTTTAATTGGCAAAATTATTGTATTTTTTTAACTGAGACATGTATTATCACTGGGTTTCTTTGTTTGAACATCAGGCCTTCGTGCGTTCTCGCAGTGTGTCAACGAACAAAGAACTCAGTTTTCCTCTTTACTGACATTTTGAGGGACTCAGAAGGTCGGCTGTCATCAAATGTTTGTGCCAAATATCTCCATATAAAACGGCATCAGCATCTGTTTTATTTGCTGCTTGAACATATTCTGCACTACGTCGCTCCTGAACCAGATAAAGCATCGCCATCGCAAAGTGCGTGGCTCTTAATTGAGACTGTCAAGTTATGTTTTGTAGGACAAGTCGAGCTAATTTTTCTTTAAATCCATCGTTAACAGGTTGTCTTCTATCTATGTAGAGCTGTGGGTGTAAATATAATAACTAAATATTGTTTGTGTGTTGTGGCAGTTCCTCCAGGAAACCCGATCATCGAAGCCAAAGACGAGGTGCTAAGTGAAGGCAACGAGACGGAGATGACCTGCACGGCCATGAGCAGTAAGCCTGCGGCCACCATCCGATGGATGAAGGGAGATAAAGAGCTCGCAGGTGGGCATATTGAAACAAAAGAAAAGAAAAATCCAGAACAGTTGTGTTAGTGATAGGGTGTCTAAAATCTAGCTGATGGATCACCATGAGTGTTTTAAAACCTTTGAATTGAATCCAAGTTATCTTGTAAAGTCAGATTTACTTTTAAAGACCATCAATCTGATGAATACTCCGAGTGCTCTAATCACAGTTGAACAAAAACAGACACTTGGTATCAAGTGATGAACATTATTGTTCGTCATATTAGAAAACACACATCATTAAACTTGAACTCTCAGAAAGTAAAACTTATTATCAAGAAACCTCCAGAGTGACTGTGATTTAAGATGGCTGCTACAGTTACTTGATGTTATTTTTTAAATGTTATTTCTTTAACCTTTATTTATACAGGTTAGTCGCACTGAGTCACGAGGACTCATTTTCAAGAGAAACCTAGACAGACAACATATAAAGTACAGACGACAATAATCAACAACTAATAGCAATTTAAATAAAAATAGTGTTATAAAAACACTTACTGTTAGCAACATGGTCCTATTAGCAGAGAGCTTCTGTTAGCAACATGGTCCTGTTAGCAGCATATTGTTAGCAGTGTGGTCTTGTTAGCAGCATGGTACTGTTAGCAGCCATTGAAACTATTGTAGCATTATGCAAAGATAAAACTAAATCAAAACTTGACTAACATGAGCAATACCCAGCTGTAGTCCTTTTAGCTGTGTGGTCTTGCTAGCAGCATGGTACTGTTAGCATAGTTGTCCTATTAGCAGAGAGCTTTTGTTAGCAGCATGGTCCTGTTAGCAGCATACTGTTAGCAGTGTGGTCTTGTTAGCAGCATATTGTTAGCAGTGTGGTCTTGTTAGCAGCATGGTCCTGTTAGCAGCCATTGAAACTATTGTAGCATTATACAAAAATAAAATTAAATCAAAACTTGACTAACATGAGCAATACATAGCTGTAGTCCTTTTAGCTGTGTGGTCTTGTTAGCAGCATGGTACTGTTAGCATAGTTGTCCTATTAGCAGAGAGCTTTTGTTAGCAGCATAGTCCTGTTAGCAGTGAGGTTCTTTAGTAATGTGGTCTTGTTTACAGCATGGTAATGCCAGTGGTGTGGTCCTGTTAGCAATGAGGTTCTGTTAGCAGCATGATGATAATAGCACGATAATAACACGTATTAACTAACATGACAATAGCTATAGCTCAGTTATTTTACAGGTACTGTGCTAAGCTTTCGTTTGGTAGTAACTGAGTCATTTCCAGCACGCATGGCTTTTTTTCATGGGCTCGACTCAGCCCTACTTGGATCAGCTCGGCATGGGTTGAATCTTTCCATTTGGTGATCACACCCACTTCCAGCTCAATTTTCAAACCTACTCAGCCGACGATCCAAGCGAGTTGAGCCGAGTTGAAGATTTGACATCATCAGACTGTGGATCATTGACTGGACAGGTCAATCATGAGAGCCCAGGACTGACATTCTGAATCAAGCTAGCATTGGCTTATGCTAAGCCCATATCCCCTAGTCTTCAACTTGATGCAGCTGTCTGGATGCACAAAATCTCCTCCGCCTTCCAAGACTGTTTCATCTTACCTGCAGCATCTCTGGCTTCCAGATTTCCCCTCCAGTCTCACTAAAAGCTGCAGACCAAGCAACAGTTATTCCATCACCTGGATGTTTTCCATTGCTCTGTTGCGTTGGTATACAAAATGACGTCATGAAAGTTTCAGGCTGTGGTGACCTGCCCACATTAAGGCGGCACTTTGTTATACTGAAAAGCGCCAAGACTGTGTAGACTCAAGTATACATGACTGGACAATCAAAAAATGGCTATATTCCAAATGTTATCAGGTCGTGTGAGTTCTTCGTCTAAAGATTTGGCAAGCGAATTGGCCAGTGATATCCACTCATTCAAAAAAAATGCTAGTTTCATTGTTATATATTTATTTATTTATTTGCCATTTCTCCCTTGTTTAACATTATTTCAGCAGACTACAGATGGGTATTGCTCATGTTAGTCAAGTTTTGATTTAGTTTTATCTTTGCATAATGCTACAATAGTTTCAAGACAAGGCATTGTCAGTGCTTTATGACTAATAAATAACTTCCTACCTGGAATCATGTTAGGCAAACAAAAAGCTTGCGTTTTATTTTTATTCCTCCTTCAGTGAGGTGAGAGCAAGCAGAGGGGTTGTGGTGTTTCTGGAACTTGTTTTTCCAGTAAACTAGGAATGGATCTACTTTCACACCGTGCTTTCCAAGTCCTGTTGACCGCTGAAACCTCGTTACATAACGAGCCACATTCACACAGCACTTTTTCATCTGTTCACATCGTGCAAACGGAGCACGCAGGTTTGAAGCAGTGCAAGCTACAGGATTTTAACTCTTAACATTTGAGCGGAGCTGAACTCTAATTTTTCCCCGCACTTGCTCATATGTGAAGCCTCCACAGCATGCATTTGAATAAACTTATTTGCTGTTGGTCTTCAGCGCTGGTAGTTGTTACGTTGAGCTTAAAGTCTATTCCATTAAAGCTTTGCAGATATGCGGAGGTGGCCAGAGCTGCTTGGCAGCCTGACAGCTTGCATGGCTTCATCAAAGGTAGCTGAGCGTTAGAAGTCTATGCAGAGCTCAGGGGTTGAACAGGCCTCCCGCTAGGCAGCTCTACCTCAGAGCCTAGATTTGAGCTTTGTAAAGACTTCCAAACAAAGGTCCCAATCAGAACCTGTTTTGAAGGCCCCAGAACAGCATCGCCTCTACAGTGCAGCACTTTAAACCTTCACTGATCAGCTCAAATCTCAGAATAATACAATGTGTTTAAATCAGGGATTGGCTGGAAGAAGATTTTTAACATCAGAAAAATGAGGCTGGAGTTAAATCAGATCATGTTTATGCTGGCAAGTGGAGACAGTGACGTACCAGCTGTTGACGAGTCCAAATAAAATCACGGTGTTCAACGTTTAACTAAAGTTGCTGATGAAAGCAACAACAAATTATATTTAATGTGAAGGTTAAACAACGTTGAGCCAGCTATTTTCTAAACCTCTTCTAGCGGGCTGATTGAATAAAATAAAGGGATTGTCCAGTCATTAGTAGTTATTACCTCATCAGCCATCACTTCAGTCGTGCAGCTCAGAGTGTGGAGAAAGATGCAAAAGTCTTTGTCCAAGCTAGGCTAAAGGCTAGCCAAACAAGGGTTCATTTTCTTTTTTCTTTCAGCTGCTCCCTTCTTCAGCTGCTGCAGCAAACTAACTCGCACAAAAACTTGGTAATTGTTTTTATGCTGGATGTCCTTCCTGACGCAACCACAGACCACGAGCTACCACAGCCCTCTGTGTGGAGCAGAGAGCTGCTAGAGCAGATGGTGGAGGTTAAGGGCCTTGCTCAAGGGCTCAGAGTGGGGCAAATGAAGGTGGAGACGGGTGCGGGCGCTTCAACTTTCCCACCCACATTTTGATGTTGTCGGTCCGGGGAGTTGAACCAACAACCTTCCAATCACATGCCCATTTTCTCTAACCTCGGCACCACCACTCCCCATTTTCCAAATTTCCATTAATTTTTCCTGACATAAAATTTATTTCCCAAATCCAACTTACATGAGTTAATTGGCTAACGTTATTTTTTTTTAACTAAACCTTATTTAGTTTGTTGCGGTTTTCTTAATCGGACAACGTCCACGTTACTGCACGGAAGCATGTGAGCTGATCATAGACAGAACGACTATCTTCTGACGGTGCTGAGGCTGCTGAATGTATCAGACCACCGGGAGTTGAGTAAACGTTTGGACCGACTAGACGAGCCGATCAGGTGAACTGGCACCTTCAGCAGCCTCAGCACCATCGGCCTAAACATGGTCTCTCTGTTCTCTGCATGCATGTATTTTCATAGTAATGCACACGTTGTTCACGTGAGAAAATGGTGACAAACTAAACTAATAGTGAAGAATGTAGTTTTGTGAGCCGTGAGCTTAAAAAAAAACTAACATGTGGCTTGCTAGTTGGTGTCAAACACCATCAAGTGGTGGGGAAGTTGCACAAAGCAAACAGCACATGCAGGATGGACTGGTTCAAATGCTTTTAATGAATAGAAACTATTGATGAGATGAAACCAAAGGACAGAACTAGACTATACGATGAGGAGGTTGTATAGACTGGGATGGGCGAGCAGGTGAAGAAAGCTGCACGGAATTAAACACTAATTAGAGCTGAGGCAAACAGGTTGAGGACAAAATGAACTACAAACAGGAAACAATGAAATTTAACTAAACCACAAACCAGAGTCCAGTACAGAATCCAGTGAGAGTGCAACAAAAAGACACACCACTTCTCTGCAGTGCTGAGGAACCAACTAGTCGCAGCAGTAACAACCCATTGATACACCACTTTTAGAGTGATTGTTCAGATTTTGAAATGAGGTTTCTATGGAAAAACATGTGAATAATTAATATTTTACTGGTTGTAAAACGCTCATAGAATAACTACAGTTTGGAGAAATGGAGTCTTATTCTGACAGGACTGGTAAATTAACTGGCGAGTCAAGGCCAGGCCAAGATGAGAGAAGATCGTTGCTGCCTTAAAACAATTCAAGTCTCCACATCTGATGGTGTGAATCATGTGAATGTCATTTTTAACTTGTAACCAGTTTTGCATTAGATGCTTCTCTTGGCAAAATGTTTAAGATAATCTGACCAGAACTGCTCCAAACTCCACTGGGAGTGCTCCTGCTGCTTTCAGCACCTGCAAATAATACATTATACTCGGGGCTTAATTTGAACCAGATCCTGCCAGAACAGGATCCAGGAACACTCTTATTTTGACAGGGTGTGTTCCGGTAACTGTTTGTTTGTATCCAGTAACGCTCAGGCTTACTAATTACAAAGTTATGAACAAATATGACTGCCTTGAACGAATAAAACATACACTGGATATTGTAAAGTGAAAATAATTACATAAACACTAATTTTAAACACAACAGTCGCTTACGAGCTTCTTAGCACTTAAAAACAT